TTCTATCTTCTTTAATAATCCCAATAGTGTCAGTGTAAAGTTTAGCTGATTGCGGTTAATTTTATATTTAGCAATATTAAAAGTTTGTGCTCATTTGTTTGGTGCTTTCATTGGACTTTGTAGATCGAATTCCAAGTATTGGTCCCCCAGTCAATTGGGCACCTTGTGTTTTGAGAGCAGGTTCTCCAGATCCACTGTGCCATATTTGAATTTGTATGACCATCTCCAATCACAAGCCATATAGATGAGGCCTGATTCACACCTAGGCAACAGCGGTTTCTTATCACAGTTTATTAACAAATATTTTATAATATTTTTATACATCACTGATCAAATTTAATAGATTATTATCTGTTATACACAATATTCACATTGATTTAAATTTATGAAATAGATTTTTTGAGATACACCCTTTATTGAATTTTTGAATTACATTTTTATCTACTCTTCAATTGTATGCTTCAAACCTCGATCCCAACGTTTGATTTCTCTTATATCCACCTTTTGAAGGACGGTTAGCGCTGTACGTTTAAAAAAAAACAAAAAACAGCGGTTTCGCATGTAATAACGTGTGTTTTTTGTTAACCTTTTATGTGTGTATACACGTTTATATTAAATACGCACATTTTTACAAACAGATTGTGACATATATTGAAGTTTTCAAGCATTTTCTATTAAAGGAGAACTATGAGGCGAGTGATTTTCACTCAACCTCATAGTTCGAGCTGACGTGCGACAATGAAACTGTCACACGTCGGCTCAATAGATCGGGAAGTGAGCGAACACATACCAGCGCTCACTTCTCAATCATGTCCCTGCAGAGAGCCGTGACTGCCACTCTCGGCTCCCTGCAGGGATTCCCCCACCCCGCGCCGATCCTCCAGCGTTGACTGGCGGAACGGACAGGGGAGGGGCTGGGCACAGCTGGCTCTGCCTCTAGATGGGCAGAGCCAGCTGTCAATCAAACAGACTTATGAAGGGACCCTGTGTGGTCTCGAAAGCGCTTGTTCATATGACAAAGAACTTCAATGAATAAATCTTTTGCTGTCCTGAAAGGACAGGTGTGCTAGTGACATTTCTACAATTTCCACTTTTGGGACATGACCCACTAGTTGAGAACCAAGGCTTTAAAGTGTAATATATTGCAGCATACCTCCGGTATGTGTTCTCTCACCTCCCGATCTACTGAGCCGACCTGTGACGGTCTCATTGTCACAGGTCGGCTTAGAACTATGAGGTGAGTGGAAATCACTCATGTCATAGTTCTCCTTTAAAGTGGTGGCTGCATTAATTCTTCTTAAGGTTTTTTTTCTTTTTGCGTCAGTTGGTCCGGCCAGTAACGCATTTCCTGTCTTAGGGTGCCTCTACTCTATGGAGGAGCTTAGGAGGCTCCGCTGGACAGCAGCAGATTTAAGGTGCCTGTACACCTTACAATTATCTGCAGATTTTCTGTGGTCAGATGGAAAAAGTGCAATAGATTGGCCCAGGTGGAGATTACTCCATCCACACAGTTAAGTGTAGATGGAGGAGTTTGTTGCACCTTTTCCATCTGACCATAGAAAATCTGCAATAATTGTAAGGTGTATGGGCACCTTTAAGGGGGCCATACACTTTACAACCATCGCAAGACCTTAGTCTTGCGATGGTTGTAAAGTAATTTAAAAAACGGCTTCCGATGACCGCAATGCTGAATGGGCAGTGTGCGCACACCGGCCCGTTCGGCATTTGTCTCCCGAGCACCGTTCAAACCAGCCGAAAATCGTACGATTTTCGTCTGGTTTTCTAGCGTGCTCCTTGGACAAAAGACATGCGACCGTACAGTAGAAACGGTCGCACGTCTTCGTTCACACTGCTCGATTCTCGTACGATCGCGGGATTTCCCGCGATTCTGGTACGAGAATCGAGCAGTGTATGGGCACCTTTTTAGATGTGCTTGACTAACAAATTAAAGCCTAATTCCAGCTGGCACTTTTTAAGCAGTTACAGCAACAGCTTTTTTTTTTCCTTTTGGGATGAAGATTTCCCATAAATTAATGCAAGCTGACCATTGTAAGCACCCCTGTCGGTGGTAAATGATTTGTCTCAACCCTCTGTCCACGAAGTTGAAAAAAAAAACTAGATTTACTGTCTGGATCATCAGGTGAAAATAAAGGAAGAAACCCTCCAACAGGAAAACAAATGTAGACAGCACATTTTGGAATTAGCAAGCTGGAGTGTATTACATTTTTGTCTTTGGGTTTAGATATGCATTATTTGTTAAAGGAGAATTATGGGGTGAGTGAAAAACACTCATCCCCATAATTCAAGCCAACCTGTGACAAAGGAGCTGTCACTGGTCGGCTCTACTGATCGGGAAGTCAGCGAACACATACTGCCAATTTCTGACTTCCCAATCCTCTCCCCGCAGATTGCGGTGACTGTCACCCTTCCCTTCTCTGTTTCTCCAGCTCTGACTGGAGGAACAGACTGGCAGAGGGCGGGCACAGCTTGCTCTGCTTCTAGAGAGGCAGAGCCAGCTGTCAATCAGCCTGCGGCGTGGATCTTGACAGTATTGTCGGGGTGCATCCCGGCAGTGGAGCGGCCCTGCGCTCTCAGCATATAGCGGGCAATAGCCTGCTATATACTGAGTTTTGGGTCACTGGAGGACACAGTACATGTCAGAAGTGGCATTTTCAGCCAATATGTTTCAGTGGCCGATATATTGGTGCATCCCTATTTATTCATTATGTATGTTGGTGCTACTTCCAAATGCCATGGTGTTCAGGTGCTTTATGAAGAGGTATCTTAATAAGGAAACAATCCCTGTAATAGACGTGTGTATAAATTAATGTTTGGTGGTTAAGTCCTGCTGTTTACACCTCATACTCCAACTAATATCCTTTTGTTGGCATATTCAGCTGGTGTCTGTTTATTTTATAATCCAGTCTAACGCTATTTCCTAATGGTTTCCTAGTGTTTGCATTCATATTGTAATTTTTTTGCAATATATACTCTTCTTAGGTTCCTTCTCCACACCCAGGTCTCCAGTAATTTCCCCTAGCAGCACAGCAGCTAGCAGACTGGCTGGACAAGGAGATGATTTAATTGCTCCGACAGGTATTGCGGATGCTGGATAACTCCCCAGGAACTGCTGGTGCTGCACTAACCTCTTTATTTTTCCTGATTATTTCCTGATTATCTCTGAATCATAGGAGTGTGCTTTATTCCTGCCCTGCTGAGAATTAATCATGTGCCAATTAACTCAAATACATGTTAACCTTTCTTCTTGTTCAAAAACAACATCACCCTGTATTCAGAATGTGCATACGACATGTTTATATGAATCGTGTGTCAAATCAATCGCTTAGCAAAGTGCAATGTTGTGCAGTAATCAGTAGCAGGCAGTCCATAATTCGTTTCTAGTATGAGTGCTCCAGGCTGTTGAAGATGCTCTGTGATTTGTATAAATGAGTTACGGCACAACACTCTCTCCAACTATTTCAAATGTATCCTCTCGTCAAAACCCTTCGCACAAATCACATTAAGTGCAAGTAGATTGATCCTTTTTATACATGGGGATTACTTTCGACAAAATGGCTCTTGCATTGTACTTTGCATATAATATTGAAACATTTAGCAATATCACTGCGGCCACATGGCAACATGCGTAGTCTTTTTGTATGAGAAATTCCAAAACTGACAAATCATATTTTGATTAAGTATGGAGGCTGCCACTGCCTAATTTTACTTAGAGGTTGCCCTCCTAACCTTGCTTCCACTCACCGGCCTGAAACAAGTATGCTGGCAAAAGCCACACTTTCAGTGACTGCATGCTTTTACCAAGTCAGTGACTCTTTAGGTAGGAAGTCAGGCCTTATTCACATGGATGTGCTTGGCCCTACAGCATGTATGTCCGTGTAGAAACCTGTGCCGGCTGGTGCATGCAGTTGCACTGTGGTAAACAACAACACAAACGTTACATCCATATGGGCAAAGATGCACTCCTCTGGATGCAGACAGTCTGCATCCAGGGGCTTCCGTTTTTGTACCTGTATGGATTTGAAAGTTCGGGTCGGTGTTTACCAGAGTGCAGCTGCATCCTTCAATTGAGCTGTACAGGTGGCAGCACGCACCAGCTAGCACTCCCGGACGCAGGATTTTTCCACGGCACGTGCATGCTGTATGTTTGTACTCACCGGCCTGAAACAAGTATGCTGGCAAAAGCCACACTTTCAGTGACTGCATGCTTTTACCAAGTCAGTGACTCTTTAGGTAGGAAGTCAGGCCTTATTCACATGGATGTGCTTGGCCCTACAGCATGTATGTCCGTGTAGAAACCTGTGCCGACTGGTGCATGCAGTTGCACTGTGGTAAACAACAACACAAACGTTACATCCATATGGGCAAAGATGCACTCCTCTGGATGCAGACAGTCTGTTTATGCACGTCCTTGTGAGCTGTGAATAAGGCCTTAAAGTGAATCTTTCACTAACTTTACCAGTATGAGCAAATTCCTGACTTCATAATATACAATAATAGTATAATTAAAACAGTGCTTGAACTCCAGTCAAAGGACTCTCCTACGCTGAGACGATGCAGTCAGTTTCTTGCAGGTAAGAGAGCAGTTTTTCAGTCTCCTCTCCGCTAGAGATCAGACTGCAACATTGTAAGTTTGTAGCAGATTACAAGTTAAAGTGGATCTGAACTCAAACGTTAGAGTAGAACTAAAGCTAAGGCTGGGTTCACACCTGGGCGTTTTTCAACGCTTTATCGAAGTGCTGATAAACGCTCAAGCAGTGAAATCCTATTAACTCCTATGGGCATGGTTCCCACCTGGGCAGTACAGGAGCTTCTTTGGGGCGTATTTCAGCGCGTATCCATTGGTATTCCCGAGTGTGGCTCAGGGGTTAACAAAGCGGTACCCCGGAGCCACACTTGGGAATACAGCGTAGGTCTTACCTTGTCCGCGATCCCCGCTGTGTCCTCCGGCCGCTTCCGGGTTCTGTCCCTTGCAAACGTCTGCGTCACAGGGGGGCGGAACCGGCGGGAAGTTGAAAAAAAAATCATACCGCCAGGGAGGTAAAAAACGAACGTCGAACGAGAGTTTCATTGAACAAAAAAACATGCTAAAAACATGCTTTAAAAAACGAGCATAAAACGCGCCTATTTGGAATGCCCAGGTGTGAACCCAGCCCTTATTTGTTTTGAATGGAGTTGAGAGAACCCCAGGTTTTTATTTGCGTTTTGTGTCCTTGGATGGTTCACCCTCTCTAATTGTCCTGGTGATCGGTATCACCAAGGGTGAAAGTAAAAGAAAATATTGGGTTCTCACCAATATAGGACTAAAGGAAAATCTTCCTTGGGGACTCTAGTTCTGATGACCATACAGACCACCAGGGATTTCCCTCACTTTAGAGGGATTTCCTCTTAAGTCTTTTGCCTTTTTGGTTTCTTTTTTTTTGGCCACACCTTCTAGCGTTTTGGGTCCCGTCTAAGAGCTGATCTGTGTCAGACATCTGTGAACACAGCCGAGAACTGAACAGGCAGCAGGATATACACATTATCTATGAGTCAGCATCTTGGTCCAGGAATTAGATTCTTAAAAAATGTATATATTTAGGATTTACTACTTCTTTTTTTCTTTTTTTTTACTTGCTGATAAAGCATTGCTTTCCCTACCATGAAGGAGGGGGGCTGCGAAGTTGTGTTTGCCATAATTTAACCCCCTCTTTACTGTGCTGGCAGATGTTATTATCCGTTGTATACTAGATGTGCACACTACAGTATCGGTCCTAACATAGTGTTTGGGTGGTACATTGTATGTTAATGAATTTTAGGGAAAGAACTGTCCCCCAGTATGTCCCTTTTCTGCCCATTGCCTTATATAACTAAGCAGTAGAAGCTGTAAAAACAAAACATTTTTAGGTATGCTGTGTGAATGGGAAAACAAACGTATAATTAAGTATATAGTAGGGGATTCTCAAATTTGATTGCAAATGTGAAAATACACTGAGTTTTTTTGGGCTCTACTGGCAACTTCAAAGTACACTTTTTTTTCCTACAAAATGTATTTTAACCACTTGCTCACTGCGGTATTAAACCCCCTTCCTGGCTAGGCTATTTTTCAGTATTCAGCGCTGCAGTACTTTGACATTTATTCCGTCATGCAACGCTGTACTGAAATTAATTTTATACAATTTTTTAGGGACAGATAGAGCTTTCTTATGGTGGTATTTTAATTTATTTTTTTCTATATAATTAAACATTTTTTTTTCTAAAAGCCTTTTCCCTACTTTGTTATAAAACATTTATCAGCACCCAAATTGTTTGTTAAAATATAAAAGATCGGGTCATGTCGGGTAAATAAACACCAAACATGTCAAGCTTTAAAATTGTGTGCGCCAGCGAAATTGCAACAAACTACCGTGCCTAAAATAGTCCATAGGCGACACTTTAAAAGCTTTTACGGCTCATCAATTTAGTGTTATCAGTGATTTGATGGCCCTACAATTTATTGCTCACATTCAGACGTTCGTGGCGATTTGCAACGTGTGGCGTAATAGTTGTTTTCTCACGTAGGCGCACCCAATGCTTATTTACGTTTATAAGTGGGGGCGGGGGGACCTAAAACGTTTTTTGATGTTTTTACATTTTTTTTTATGTGGGACTTAAAAAAAAAAATGTTTTACCTCTTTATGGAGACATCAGGGGTCTCTAAGACCCCTTATGTCACCTAGGGACCCCCAAATAAGCTGTTGAAGCTGAGATCTGCTTCATCAGCTTTCTCTCTGGCTCTCAGCTAGAGAAACGACAGCTAAAGGCGGAAGCGATGTAATAGACATGGCTTCCGCCTTTAGAGAGAGAAGGAGGAGAGATGAATAGTGGGGAAAATGCTAATCTCTCCTCCTTCTCCGTACAGGCAGTCGCTGTGCTGGTCCTGGGCTCGCAGGAGGGACAGCAGAGCCCGGGATAACTGGCAGTGACGGGGAAGAGCGGCACCAGATGTGGGGGGGGGGCGCGCGCACCCCTGCATTGCACGGTAATACAAGCGAACGCTTGTATCTAACAGCCGGTAACACCTGTGTAGATTCCCGGCCGGGTCCTGCCTGCTCGTGCACGCTAGGGGACGCACACAACCAAGAAGTAAATCACGTAAATGTCCACCCATCGGGAAGCATCTGCTGTCCGCCCAATGGGCGGACGGCAAGGGGTTAAATAAAGTAATTGTTGATCCGGTCAGTCATGTGTTGTCTCTTGTGAGCAGTGGAAATGATTTGTAGGTGCATCTAGCCGCTGCAGTGTTGCCACTGCTCTGAGCATACTCTGGATCATGGTAAAAAAGATAAAAAATAAAATGTTTGTATTTTACCTGGTCAGGCTTGTCTTGTAAAATGGGGCATCTAGGAGTGTTTGATTCACAGCAGCTGCAGGGAGCCTTAAGGTGCCCATACACCTTACGGCCATCGCAAGACTTTTGTCTTGCGATGGTCGTATGCTTATTGAAAGCTCGTACGATCTGCCCACCTTGGACGGGCAGATCGTGCTTGCGATCATCAAAAGCCCGCCCCGCTGAGGGGCGGGCTTCCGATGACCGCAATGCAGAACGGGCAGTGTGCGCTTGCGCACAACGGCCCGTTCCGCAGCTATCAGACGAGCAGACTAGAAACCCGCCGACAATCGTACGATTCTCGGCGGGTTTTCAAGCATGTTGGTTCGACAAAAGACGTGCGACCGTACAGTACAAACGGTCGCACGTCTTCGTTCACACTGCTGGATTCTTGTACGATCGCGGGATTTCGCCCGATTCTCGTACGAGAATCGAGCAGTGTATGGGCACTTTTACTGTCATTGCCATTCATAACGGAGGCTCACTGTGCCCTTGTTACCTGGCTTATCAGGCGGTGCTGCATGCAGCATAGGCAACTGGAAGCCTGACAGGGTTGGTACTAGGGTTTACCGTAATTGACAGCAGCTTCCTCAAGCCTGGTATCCTTTCCATTCATGGCAGGGCAGACTGGTAGTGTGCTTTGGGTATCTACTAACTGTAGGCAATTTGAGTAAATGTATACTACAGCATAATGTTTCCTAGCATATGTTATTTAATCGCAGCCAATCAGTCATTTTTTTTGGTGTAGCATGATACATTTAGCTTGGTGCCAACCACCTGCCTGGGCCATGCAGAGCCAAGAATGAGCAAGGGGGTCATGTGACCTGGTAGAAAGCCTGAGAATAAAAGTATTTAGGTGCTTTTTGTTTTTATTATTTACACTGACAATTTGATTTGTTAGTTTCCTGCCTAGATTTGTAAAGAGTGCATTTAAGTTTACAACAACTCTAAAGGATAACTAATTTTGTATAATTTTTTTGTTGTTGTGCACCTCCCCAAAGTACTATGCTCATCTGTCAACTCTCTTACAAGACTACGCCTCTATATATAACGAAAATAATTTTCTTGCACATGCGCAGAAGTATCGAAAGGACCAGCCAGAGAGTTTGTAGTAGCTCTCCCATGGCATGGACAGGCGTATAAGAGGTTATCTTATCTGATGCTAGACCCACTTTAAAAACATGTCAGCGATGGCAGATCCCATGTTTATTTCCTCATGGGTTCACTTTAATATGTACAAATGCTGGTATTTGGTGAAAGTGATAAGCCAAGCACAAAGGGAGCTGTTTTGCTTTACTTTATAGCTCATACCGAGGTGCCGCTATGTGTTCAGACATATTTACTTTGGGGTTGTATATGGACAACAGGCCTACATTTGCACTGTTTAAGACTAAAAACAAAAACAACTAGGAGCCCCCCCTTAAATTTAATGTAATCTTCTAATTCACATTAAATGAGATCAGCCCGTAGCCCCCAAAATCAAAAATGAATAGAACAGACCACAAAGAAGGGCCAAATAGATGGTTACCCAAAGGCCAAATGAGGCATAAAATCTTACCAGAGCTGGCAATTTATTAATATAAATTTGCATAATATGTTGAGTTGTTGTTTTAATATTCATAATGGTATTGGGGATATTGTTTGACAGTGCTTATTTTTTTTGTGCCCAGTTTTGATAAGTATAAAGTATACTTTTTTTACTGCATTTGGCAATAGTAGCAAAGTCTGTGTCCTGCTGTCTTAAATTCTGTTTCATTATATGAACCTTTATTGAATTCCAGTGTGTATGTGCATGCGGTTTTGTATAATTTGGATTACATTTGATGTCTTCCCAATTGTTGACTTTACTAATTTGTTAACTAATGTTATGATTTAGTTTAGAACTATGAGGTGAGTGACAATCGCTCATCCTCATAGTTTGAGCCGACCTGTGACAATGAAACTGTCACACGTCGGCTCAATAGATCTGGTAGTGAGCGAACGCATACCGTCGCTTGCTTACTTCTCGATCTCCCTGCCGAGAACGGTGATTGTCAGTCACTGCTCCCTGCAGGGATTCCCCTCCCCCCCCGCACCGATCCTTCAGCGCCGAGTGGAGGAACTGATGGGGGAGGGGCGGGCACAGCTGGCTCTGCCTCTAGATAGGCAGAGCCAGCTGTCACTTACGCACTTGGTTGGATCTCGACATCATTGCTGGGATCCGTCCCGACTGCGGCAGTCTCAGTATACCGCGAGCTGTAGCTCATGATATATACTGAGCTTTGGGTCCCGGGAGAACGCTAGTATATGTCCTCCCGTGACCCTTAAGTTTAATTCAGTTTTCACCTACATAATCTGTAGCAGTTGAAATGTTTATTGGTTGTTCTATATGTCAGGCATTATACCATACAATTAAAAGCAGGCTTTTTTGCAAAAGCAGTTCAGATTGGTGATGGACACAACATCACAGAATATTCAATCTCCTTTGAGAAACTTTTCATTTCAGATCAGACACAGGGTGCTTATTAAATGGCTTTGTATTGAATTGGCCAGGGTGATGTTGTTTTAGAAAGCACTGACAATGTACACCAGTAGTAATATGTTGAACTTGATGCTATAATTCTGCTTGCTCATCCTTTTTATTTTGTTGGCTGTTACATGGCTAATTGTCTTCCAATTTGTTTTCTCTGTAGCACTCTGATAAACAATTACTGTGCTATTGCTGTAGATAAATGTTCCTGTAAATCTGGGGACAATGTCTGCTTTTCTTTTTTAATGAAATTGCATCTTATTCTTGTTTCTTTAGGTGATAGTCACAAAACACAACAGAGAAGTGGCCCTGTTGTCCTCTCTGAAGATCCAAGGAGTACAGCTATAGAAAAATTTGAGCTTGTAAGAAGATGGAGTTTAAACACCTACAAGGTGCGTAGTAGATGTTTTAGTATAATCTAGGTTATACAGTATATAGGCTTACAAAGGGCATACTGGTCAAATATCCTTTTTGCAGTGTTTCTTTGTATTTTAAACTGACAGCCTCAGGCTACAAGTAAATGGTGCTTGTCTTTTGTTCTCTGCTGACACATTTTAGTTTCACTGACAGTGTAAACCTAAAGTCTAGTTTCACTGGAAAAAGAAAAACTTTTCTTAAAAGTAGACCCTCCATTGTACCCTGAACTACAGCTATTCTTTAAAAAGGGCTCTGAATGCTTTTTGTTTTCCCACACAGAAAATGAAACGTAGGGCACCCTACAACAGCCAAAATGCTATTATTCTATGGCTTGCATTTTCCTGGAATTGTTCCCAATGGAATATTTATGTGGTTTGCTCACCCCCCTATATATTTACCCCAAAATAAAGTGAGCAAAGTCTGCTGAATAAATTATCACTTTAGTGCAATTTTTATGTAACTTAGTGGATATTTTAGTGTACTGTTTAAGCTAAAAGGGAATATATGCATTTACTTTAAGAAATATTTATTCCTCTTAAGATAAAGTCAGGTTGATAAGGGCATAACGGCAGCTTTCACAAAGTTCAAATTTAGATTGCGTTCAGTTACATGAATATTTGATGCCTGTGCAGCTACTATAGTAATATTTGCACAATACCCACAAATATTTATTGGCTCAGTTCATAAGGATCACACCTTGCTTCCCTACACTTCAGTATGCAAACATGTAACTCTTGGCTTAAAAAAAAAAAGTTATATTCACAATGGCTGAAGAGACGGTTGTAAATGACCTTTCTTCGCAGATAACTTTCTCGTATATGGAAACCTTAAGAATATAACTGAGCACTGGTAGTAAAGTCCTTAAAGGTATATTACATTTTTGTATAAAGAATTTACCCTAACTGCTGTAAACTTAAGACTTGTCAGAGTTGGAAGGTTGCCATTGGTTACTGTAACCCCTTGCTTTTTATACTTTTTTCTTAAAGGGAATATATTGACCTCCCAATGATTTTGTAGAGAAAAATGGGAAAATCAGCTTGATGGACTAAGATTAATCGCGTGTGTCAAGTTTGTCTCTCTAAATATAATGTCTAAATCTATATATGTATTGGGGTAAATATCCAAAAAAAACCGACCACTTGTGCACTTCTGGGATGCGTAACCTCTTTAGAACTGGTCGCTGTACATAAATGGCCAGCTTGCTCCCCTGTTGTCGCAAGTGGATGTACCTGTATGTTCTCTTGGAACTGTACTTTTGTGTGCATGCACAGACCTGTGAACATGACAGTGGATTACATGCAAAAGAAGCAGAGCCAGTCAGAGCCGCTGTGTACCATGTGATTGCTGTGACCAGTCACAATGATCACAAGTGTGGTACTCTCATACTCAGGAGGAGTATCAAAATGTGTTTTCCACAATCAAGTCATTGACTCTCATGATCATGTATCCGATGAAGTCCTCTGGCTGAAATCTAAGGTAGCGGATCTGGAAGACTGTTCTCGTCATAAAGTCAAGATAAGGGGGATCCCTGAGTCTATTCAACATTACCTGCATACGTGTAAGAACTGCTATCTGCACTACTCCCATGATGTTCCTTCTATCGAACTTGTGATAGACAGAATCCATCACCTACCGAAACCCACTTTCTTATCTGACCAAGATACATTTTTGTTAATATTTAAAGTGCTTGAATGTATTTTTAAAATTTAACTCCATCGGTTTAGTGTCACTTTAATATCTTATAGTTCTCCTTTAAGTATGTCCATGCTGTGTGTGTGAGAAATAACTTGACAACTTTGTGGGGAAAAAATTTAATTTTCTTTCTTCGTATTCCCAAAAATTGTGGCAATGAATGAGGTCTTCAAAAAGCTCACCATGCCTTTTTCAAAATACCTTGGAGTTTCTGCTTTCCAAAAAGCAGTCATTATTGGGGCTTTTATACTCTCCTGGCATTTAATGGCCTCAAGAAATGCGATAAGAACATTAGGGTTGATAAATGTAGTGGGATACATTTTGGCCTAAATTTATGCAGAAAGTTTTATTTTGTAACAGAAAGCAAGGTAGAAAAAATAAGAAAACAGTGGTTATTATAAACCACCGAAAATGTATACTTTCTAACCATCACAGCACTGAAAAAGGGAAGTGTAACATGCTGATACTGAGGTGGCTATTATCACCTTATTTTGGAACAGTTTAAAAAAAATCTGATCTGGTTTCCTCTTCTTTGAGGAAAACAAAACAGTACCTTTTGAAAATGAGTGTGCCGCATCTGAATGCCATCTGAGATGGGATAAAAATCATGAGACCTGCTAGTGTTCATGATGGTGATCATGAACAATTTTCTCATCACATTCAGAGAGAAAATTAGCCCCTGTATGCTGAGTATGATGTCAAACATGACCTAATTTTTACAAGTGGCTAGAACTTACTGTACCATAAAGTACTCACCCAAACACTCTGTATCGGCACAGGTACTAGTATTGGTATCGGTGCATCCCTAATTTGAACAATTAGCCAAGATTACTGTTTCTATCTTTGACCACTTTTTCCCTACAGTGTATTTTGAAGATGTTCTTTGCATTTTAGGAAATTAGAGACCAACATGATACTTAATTGACATGATACAAATATGACAAAATTCAACATTTTGTCATATTTGACTAACTGAAGATGGATATACACTAATGCTACAAATTTCTCAATGCAGTGTACACGCCAGATCATCTCTGAAAGGCTAGGCCGTGGCTCAAGAACTGTAGACCTGGAGCTAGAAGCACAAATAGAAATCCTAAGAGACAATAAAAAGAAGTATGAACATGTACTGAAACTGGCACAGACGCTGTCCTCTCAGCTCTATCAGATGGTGCAGACCCAGAGGCAGCTGGGAGACGCCTTTGCAGACCTTAGTTTAAAGTCTCTGGAGTTGCACGTAAGTACAGGCATATGATTTCTTTTTTTTTTTTTTTTCCTATTGGTCCTCAGATAACAAAACTGAAGGTGCAGAAGTTCAGTGTCAATAGATAATGTTTTAGGCTTTCTATATCAATTAGTGGGTGCTTTTTTCTTTTTCTCTCTCTTGTAATCTCTTTCCTTAACCTATCTTTATTTTTCTTAACCCATCTCTCTCTTTCTTTCTCTTTTTTTCTTACTCTCCTTTCCTTTTTTTTTTTTTTTTCTCTTTGAAGGACAAGTCATTGTTTGATTGATCCTGCCATTGTCCAACCAAAACAGTGAGTAGTTGGCACACAAACTATGAAAAAAGCCAAACTAGGGCTGTCCTAATGTGTAGAGCTAAGATCTTAGTGGGACATTTTGTCTCCTGGAAGCCCTGTTCCATACCTAACTTTTTACGTTTTGGATAGAAGAGGTGGGTTTATAACCTCTTTCTACTTGACATTGTTTTACTCCCTGGCTGTTGGATATACAGTACGTCCCACAGAACGGGATGTTAGGGAAATCTCCCTCAAACGGGGACACAACATGGAAGGGCTAGAACCTCTGCAAGAGTCTCATTTGAGGGAGACATCCTAATCAATTGATTTAAGGTCAGTGGTGAAGTCTCTTCAATGGGCACATTGGCACTATATTTAAAACATAAGAGGTTGTAACCCTCTCTTGTAAACAGAAAAAAAAAGCTGAAGTTTGGCTTTAATAGGTAATACAAGAATTGTAAGCATGTTTTGGGAGGTTTTTTTTTTTTGGGTGGTTATACCAGGTATAGAAGATCTGTATTCAAGAGTTGGTCCGCCTGAAACTGGTATTTCATATGGCTCCCTAATTAGCTTTGTTTCTCTCTCAGGAACTTGGATATAGAGACTTCTGCAACGCTATGTTAGCTCTACTCCCCCTTGCTTGAAGTCTGAGATAGCAAACATAAATTCTGCCTCCCTCCAAGAAATAAAAGGTTGACCGTTATCTGTCCAAACTGCAGATTTGTTTGAGTGACCTTGTTTGAGAAAAGTTTGCAAAGCCCTTTGGAGTTAAATGTGAAAAATAATTAGCTGACTTATTACTTTGTAGGGAGCTAAGCACAGTGCAAGTATGGTAGCTGGATACCAAAACAAACCCATTAAAGGACAACTGTTATTTGATAACATTCTTCTCTAAATTAGACCCCACACTCACCCCCGCAAAGCCCACAAAATACTCACCTGTCCACTCTTCTGTGTGGCCCATGGGAAACCACCCAACAGCAACTCTCCTATCTGAGCCGTTACCGATTTTGCACATACACAAAAACATTTTATTCATTTTTGTCTTTTCATTGGGTTGAATGACTGCACAATGTGGATCTAGCAGAAGTGTGGAAAAGTAAGAATAAGACTTTGGTGTGTGTTAAATTAGAGGATAGTTTTACAAACCTTTATTATCTGCTGGTTATGTAATGTCAGTGGTCATCCTCTATTTTACCTACTGCTGCACGTCTCCTTGTTTCCAAAAGTCTTCAGAGTCCTTGACAGGAGAGTTAAACCCATACAGTAGTATTAAAGATTATTTAATACTGATGATAGAGTATGGTTCTATATACCCACATTCTGCGTGCTCGAAAGAAAACGCTATTAATTACATTGATTTAGCTGTTTGGAATAAGTGCACTGGCATAAATGGAACACTGCAATCGTTGCAGGATCTGTCCCTCTTCATTCATTTTTAGAGTTAGCAGTTTTCAGCACTTAAAGAGGAATTCCAGGCAGAATAAAACTTAACCCTTGCAGTGGGACTACTCCTGCACTGCAAGGTTTTAGTGCTCGTTTTGGTCTAGGTTGTAAAATAGAAAAGATGAATATACTCCCCTGGTCCTCAGTCCCACAGCAATACTCTGGCTGTGGAAAGTCCCTCAGCGACCTCATGTCCACTGCAATTGATTGGACCGTGCATAGAGGTGATGACTTCATGGGACTGTAGACTGCCGGCATAGCCCCACTGGAAGGGTTCATATTTATTTATTTTACAGCTTATTTAATAGTCGTCTAGATTGTAATTTACTCCGAGAAATACACTTTAGTCATCTCATTCATCTTCTCAATGTTTGTACCTTTCACTGTATTAGATCTTAACTATATAATTTATCATTAATTTGTTGAGGTTTTTTTTTTTAATTTGTCTGAGATCTGTTTGTACTGTACTTTTTATAAAGAGACTCTTCCTATACTAGATTGTAAATAACGCTGAAAACTACCGCTCTAGGCAACTCACATACACATGTCCAATGTATGTACCTTTCACTGTATTATCAGGACTTCTTATGTAATTTTGTTGTATAATTTATTAGTACAGGTTTTTTTTATTGTCTGAGATCTGTTTGTACTGTACATTATAAGGAGACTCTTCCTATCCTAGATTGTAAATTAAACTGAGAAATACAGCTTTAGGCAACTCGCATACACCCGTCCAATGCATGTGCTAATGTTTGTACCTTTCACTGTATTATTAGGACTTAATTATGTAATTTTGTTGTATAATTTGTTAGCACAGTTTGTTACTGTTTTGAGATCTGTTTGTACTGTACATTTGAAAAAAAAAAAAAAAACCTCTTCCTATGCTTCTATTAAATAATTGCAAGACAAACTGCAAGACAAACTGTACCTTACCTCTCCAATCTGGTCTTTCTCGCTTTTAGTCCTTTTCCTTGAAAGCAATTATAAGATGAATGATTGCTTGCTTGCAAAACAAGTTTCAAGTTGTTTTAGGAGTTGACAATTTGTTTTATTGAGCTGTGTCTCTTTTTATTACCAAAATATATTAATGTTTACAGTATGTGTAAAACTAGCACTAAGTTTCCAGGTCGGATATACATGCATAGGATTTCAATTTGTTAAATGTGACTTGTAATCTAGAAGTCTTTTTATTTCCCATGTGTTTAAATTTTTAACCTATTGACCACTGAATGAGAATTATTGCACTATTCCTTGTTTCGAACACTAAAAACGTATGGCCCCTGTCAGAACTATGCATTGATGCAATGCTTGTGGTGCCATGCATTGTGCTGCTATTTTTTTTAAATATTTTTTTAAAGGGGATCTATGATTTAAAAACGAAATATGTATGTCTATATTGATATATATTTATGGAGAAACATTCACCATATTTATTCCAAGAGAATTTTTGTCATTCTGAATAGAGAAAGCTTGTCTGATGACCAGCAAAACGTCTTTAATTAAAATACAGCAAGTTCATTTGGCTTGATTTTAATTTTTTACAATTATTTCTATATTGAATTCTAATTAGTTATGTCCCACTCCTAACCAGATCGATCTAGTAGTTTGTAAACTTATTAAAGAAGCCCCTAGGATGTGCTTTCACAATTTACTGACACAGTTTCATTCAGCCCTGTGATTATGCACGTCCTCGCGTCAAAATTCTGGCCTGCCATCTGAACAATGTAACATCATCATTGCTTGCTGGAAGCAATGCATGATGGCACATGTAGTCTTGAGAAATTGAGATTAAATTACATTACATCAAGCAGCAGGGAAAGATATATAAAACACACAAGGATTCCATAAAGTTGTTGAGAGTGACGGGTAAATGGAAGGCAGCCGTTCCAACTACACAAAAGTGATTTGTCTCCAAGTAAGCTTTGATTGTGTTACCAAAACCCAGCCATACTATGTATTCCTATTACATTGCTGAGGTTATAACAGGATAGTATATGCTGAGTTAGTTCATTTAAATTTCATTTATTTTGACTAGCACCCCAATGCACTAAACCAGAGGACGCTTGACATAACTATGCAGCATGCTATTGCACTACATCGGGCAACACCGGTGTGAAGGAACCCAATAACAAAAGGGGCAGGGCTGAAATAGTTAAATTATTACTAGAAAATCAGTAAATAGAATTGTATACTTTTTCTACGATATAGCCTAGTTAAGGAGTCATTGCTCTGCAAAGACTGGCTCATTGCACTGTCTTCATCTCACAAATTCTTGGCTGCAGCTGAAATAGTGCAAGAGGGTCTGTGCGTATTGTTGGTGAACCAGCCTGACGTAGACCTTATCACCCTATATCTCAGGTGTAGACTAGAGGCAGGGCACCACAAATAATTTGTTACTTTTATTGAACAATAAAAAGAAAACCTGTTTCAGACCTGCACAGTTCAGTAAAAACAATTCTTAACATATGAGACTTAATCACAATCACACTCTGCTCATTTTCTGAATGGGCTATACCAGTTTCTTTGTCGCAAACTGAAATAGGACCTTTTGGTAACTGCATAAATTCCTGGCATGTCACAATATACACTAACTGTATATGGAAAAACTCTGCTTTTTATACCTAAAAACTGTCCTTGAGCTCCAGTCAAGTGACTAGATTGTGAAATTGTCATCAGTCTGCCACAGTCAGGAAGAAGCATTTACGCCGCCTCCTCTCTTCCATTGGTCAGACTGCAACATTGAAACAAGTCACGGGGCAGTGGCAGGGGCCGATCTGTGTCTTAATTTTTTGAACAACCAAGAACAGAATTGCACACACACTAGGATTTTCATGATTGGATTATCTCTACAACAGCATGTAGGTCCAGGAAATAGATCCTTTTGGAGAGAAAGGCAGTCTATGCATTGTGGAGGGATTAGGCCTCATTCACACTGCCGCGCATGTACGCAGGTATTGTACCATATGCAACATATGCAAATAAATGGCTCCATACACAGCCGCTTATGGAGCCATATATATGCGCAAAAACAGAATGGAACCGAGATGCGTCCGGGCAGCGTATTTCTGCGTATTTTACGTGCATACGCATGTTTGCGCGTGTATACGCGCACAGGTCATTAAAATTTCCATTCGGAATGATGCAGTCTGGGAATGCAAATAGTGCACGCACATACGCTCGTATATATGCGCATAGATGCTCGTGTATACGCAATATACAATTTTTGCTTGCGTTGTGTGTGATTGAGGCCTTACTGTATTCTGTGAGAGGT